GGGAAAACATATGCAAGTGTGGAAGGTGTTAAAGAGGACATCGACATGTGTTTTGCTTCAAAGCCACGTGATTTATTAATCAGTACATTAACAACCTGATTGTAAGATGCAAAAGCATCATCGATAAGAATTGAGAATTTATTTAATAAATGTTTTGATTTGATATATAAGTGATTCGGGTTTTGTCATCTAAAAAAAAGCGACAGTAATTTCTTGACGACCTAATGCTATTGTTCGAATACGCTAAGAATCTTTATTAAATCGTGTATATATATATTACTGTTACCGGAACTTGAATAACGTTATTAAACCAGTTTTTATACTGTTTTGTTTGGAAGGATTCTAAAGATGTGTTAGCACATTTTATTTTTATTTCAGTCCTGTGTAGCCTGAAGACCACGGGGTCTAAGAGGCGTTGGTTTAATTAAACGTATTCCCAAACAATTCAACCTTTTTTTTTTCTTGAAATGGTCGCAATCCGACAGAAACCTATATTATGTGAATCTAAATTGTTACTGGTTTTCACAAGTTCCTCACAGAACAAAGTATGACTTCTTCTCACGGTTGGAGGGCAGTGCTAATTTAATCTCGAGTTTTGTTTACTTAATCTTTTTTGTTTAGGATATATCTATTCAAACGGACAGTACCATTTTGATATTTAATTAAACTTTTGGCCAGTTCATGGGCACGTGATCATTCAGGTGTATATAACCAACTTAATGCCTGCTTGAGAAACATCGACTGAACAGAACTACGTCTCACACACGAGTGTACGCATGAACACTTAATAATTGTGAACACATGATATTTAAGGTCATATCTGAAAGGTAGTGATCCGGTTCAAGAGTATGTTTTCCGTTAGTTCGCCATTTTGTTTTTCTTTAGTTATATTGTATACACTTTCGAAACTTCTGTTTAATTTAGATTGGCTAATGTAATTGTGGCATCTGTTTTTTTAAAACACAAAACTACATAATGGGTTATCTATGCTGTACCCACCACGGGTATCGAACCCGAATTTTTTAGTGTTATTAGCTCTGAGCCGCTGGAGGTAGGGATAGGTATCGTCTATCAATACTGTCTGTAAATTTCGTGTAATTCACGCTTATATCATACAATGTCTAGTACTCTTTAATAAGTGGAAACTTGAACATATCTTTAATTACAGATTTTAATTAAAAAAATAATTAGTATTTTATCACTAAAGGTTTGTGTTTACAATTTTAAAAAAATTCAACGTTAAGTGTGAAGTAAAACAAACTTTCTTGTGTTTTTTTTTCAAAACCATAACTAATAAAAATGTATTTTTAATTATTTTCCAATAGGAAAAAAACGATCTTATTAGAAAGAATTTCTGGAAATTCAGATAATTATTTGTTCCCTGGTGGCTCAGCGGTGATTCTAAGGTCTTATAACGATACAATTTGAGTTTCGATACTGTTTCTTGATAAAGCACATGTAGTCCTTTGTGTAGTTTTGTGCTTAACAACACACAAAAAAACTAAATGTATTTATTTTGACTGAATGTTACATGGCGAAATTTCGTTATATCTCTCTCTCGTCCCTAGTGGCACAGCGGTATGTCTGCGGACTTGCAACGCTAGAAACCGGGTTTCGATACCCGTAGTGGGCAGAGCACAGATACCCCATTATGTAGCTTTGTGCTTAACTTCAAACAAACAATCGTTTTTTTCTCTATGAGGCCCATCAAATCTTTCCCATCTCGTGTGTAGCCTTAAGAAACCAAAATGTGGCTTCAATTAACACAAATGATGGAGTGTAAGAGACAGGATTACATCTTCTTACACCAAGATAATAAAGAGGTTACTATTATCGAAATGTTAACTTTTGTGTAGAAATAATCATTTCTGAAATAGTGCAAGGATAAAACGCGAATAAGGGCTATTTGTTTTTATTGATAAACATTTTTATTCAAGTTACAAAATACAACAGATAATCATTTTTAAGCTATGAAATCTGTAGGACTTTAAAGAAATATTTTACAAAAGATTACATTTTAATAATGTTAAGTTTTATTTATTACACAGTTCGTTCTTTTAAAAATATTTTTAGTTTTTTTTGGTTTGGTTTGAATTTCGCGCAGAACTACATAAGGACTGTCTGTACTAGCTGTCCCTAATTTAGCAGTGATAGACTAGATGGAATGTAGTTAGTTGACACAACCAACTCTTGGGCTACTCATTTACTAAAAATTGAAAGGGTAAGCTTGTTCGGTGACGGAGAATCGAAACCTCGACCCTCATCTTGCGAGTGGAGCGCCTTAACCCTCAGGCCATGCCAGGCTTTAGTGGCTTTTTAAGCTGAATTGTGCATATTACAATCTATTTTAAGATAACAACCTTGTTTATTGTACCCAAATTTAAGATATATATAGATTCAATTTGTGAACCAAAACACAAATACATTTGAAAATAATTTTGGAAACTATTTGTATAAGCAGAAACAGTTTATCATGAACCACGATAGTGGTTCATAATAGGGATCGCCTAGGAATTTCTCAAAAATTGTAATAGAACATACTGGCAAGAACCACATTAAAAAAAAGACTTGTTCTTCAAACAACACTCAGGACATTCTATTTCAATGGCTAAGGTCGCTAAAATATTGATAATAGCAAAATAATTGATTTTCCGGTTGTTAGACAAAATTCATCCATTTGTTCTTCTTTTTATTGTTGTTTCACAAGCTTACAGAAAAAACGGCTATGAATAGTTTATTCAATCCTGGGCAAACCTACTAAAAAGCTCCTGCACAGGTTATAGGGCAATTTTTATATTGATTCTTGAAAGAGAAAAAGAGATTTTATCAGTTTCTTTTTAATCGATACTGGCCAAGTTTCTCTTCGAAGCCATTCAAACACCGAAGCCTACAGCAAAAACAGCTAGGTATACTGCGCCAAAATCTATGCACAGCTACTAAACAAACTCCTCCGAAGGTTGTAGGGCTATTTTTAAGTTGATTCTTGAAAGTCGAGATTTCCACCCTCTTCTTCGCTATCAACATAAGTTCTTCAAAGCCATTCATGCATCGTAGAAATGTAGAAGGCATTTAAGCACCATTATACTAGTCAGAAAGCTTCATTTTATTAAAGTAAACAATGTGTATATTTATAACAGTGTGTCCGGCTTTAATAGTATTGATTACAGTTTTACAAGCCACTACAGAAAAAGCGGCTATGAATATTTTAATGAAACCTGGACAATAGTTATAAATGCTGTATTGAGTAAGTCATAGGGTAGTTTTAAAATTAATTCAAGCGCCTTCGTTTTTTCGTCCTGAAGAATTTCGGTAAGTCCTTCACTTTCCGTCATTGAAAAAATCCGGTGTTTTACTAATGCACGCTAATTGGAAAATAATTTATGCAACTTATAGCGCATTAATTGGAAGCTGCCACGTTGAGGATTCATCATTTCTCGAGTTCGTTGTTGTACTTTGTCCCTACGTTGTTTTTGCAACTATTTCAGTGAGTTTTCGAACAGTAGACGGTTGCCATAGTAAATTTCTCTATCCTTCTCAGTGGTGATTTGTTCTACTGGTTTTCATACTTCAATGAAATTGTGAGTACGTATTTTATTATTATTTATATTTTTGTTTCACAAGCCTACAGCAAAATGGGCAGGGTATTTTGCCACAAAAACATAGACATATATACTATACAAAACGCTGTGATTGTCTATGATCTATTTTAAAAGTCGATTATTTTCCATTTAAAGTTGATTTACGTGGCTGTAAATACATGATATATGCGATGTTTTTGTAAGTGGCTTCCTTTGTATTCGACGCTTGTTAAACGCGTGTTTACACGAAACTTCAGGCACAAAACCACCTGGCTCAGGAAATGAAGGTTGGGTGGGAAAACAAAAAAGCCAATGCAGTAGTAAACTGTTGAAAAACATGTAACATTCAACTGAATGCATATGCACGTGTGTAACTTAAAATTTATTCTCCATAAATGGGCAACAAAAACTTAAGAAATAAGATAATTAAGAATTGTTAATTTTAAAAGGAGAATAGGGATCGTAAAAAAAGTACATAGAGTAGAGTTCCTAGTTGTAGGCTTGAAATTATAATATTTGCATTATGATTCAACTTGTTTCTGTACTTTTTTGACGAACCCTCTTCACCCCTTTTAAATTCACAATTTTTAATTATCTTGTTTTCTTTAAATCCTTTTTACATTCTTGTTTATTCTGCTCGTATCTAGACGACCTTTAAAATAAAGCCCTGAAAGATGAAACATCGTGCATAGAACAAACAAATAAGATACAATTTGTGTTTATAAAGCAAAATAATTCTGAGCGACAAATTGAAGTTATATTTTCATGATACGTTCCTCCACGTGCTGCCAACAACAAAAAAGACTGACGTATGGCATATCAAATAAATGCGCTCATGCGTATTAACATAAGTTAAGGTATCTAAATTTAAATGTTTGTATTTATACTTACTTCCATATGGCTAACAAGAATGTGTTATGGGTTCATATGGCTAACAATAATGTGTTATGGGTTCATATGGCTAACAATAATGTGTTATGGGTTCATATGGCTAACAAGAATGTGTTATGGGTTCATATGGCTAACAATAATGTGTTCTGGGTTCATATGGCTAACAATAATGTGTTCTGGGTTCATATGGCTAACAATAATGTGTTATGGGTTCATATGGCTAACAAGAATGTGTTATGGGTTCATATGGCTAACAAGAATGTGTTATGGGTTCATATGGCTAACAATAATGTGTTCTGGGCATATATCTTTAACAAGAATGTGCTGGGGGTTCTAAACAATGAAGTGATGTATGGTTTGTTTGTTTGTTTTGAATTTCGCGCAAAGCAACACGAGAGCTATCTCCCCGTGCAGTGTAAGACTAGTCATCACCACCCACCGCCAACTCTTGGGCTACTCTTTTACCAACGAATAGTGGGATTGATCGTAACATTATAACGCCCTCACGGCTGAAAAGGCGAGCATGTTTGGTGGGAGGGGGATTCGAACCCGCGACCCTCAGATTACGAGTCGAGCTATTTAACCACCTAGCCATGCCGGGCGTGACGAATGGCTTATTACAGTTAATAAATTCGTTAAGAACTTAAAACTATTCAATAAAATAGATTAAATACCCTGTAGTTTTTGCCTACCAACTTAAATGCATTTTAAATGCTTATAAAATGAATAGTTAAGTGACTTTATTTTAACCCTTACAGATAATCGATGTTACTTGACAAGTGGAGGTTCATCTGAAATATTCACCATAAACGAAGCGCTACCTGTTGGTAAATATCTTTTATTTGATATGTATTTGTTTTTCTAACTGTAACTTTCTGTTAACGTATACCTCTATTTCGAGATGGCTGTAACTAACTTTGGTTATGAGTCTATTCAGTTACCATCTATAGAAAATACTTGGGCTGAATATATAGACAGTTAGTCTTTGGCCTAGTTGCAAGTAAAAATTTTTAGTCCACCTGGTGATAAAGCAGGAAATTAAAAGCGAAAGATTACTCTTGATATGTGCGTAACATATTCAGATCGAAGTTGAATAAGTTGCAAAATAAAATGAGTTTTTAAAGCGACACTGAAAGGCGGACAGATGATATGTTATATTATATTATGAAAGACGGCAGATGATATGTTATATTATATTTTTATTGATGTGTATGATAATAATTTTCCCTCCAAAGTACATCTCAAAAAAAAAAAAACGTGCAAACATCTTTCAGTATAAAATCTACTTACAACTATAAGTTTGCTAATTGACATTATATATCTCAATATCTTGTATTTAAATGACTTAAGTTAGTAAAGTTACTATGTCCAATAGATAATGAATAAACTAACGAAAAGTCTTGCTATAGATGGATTCGGTAAGTTATAAGATGTGATTAATTTTAAGTGTTCTTTTTTTTATTCTATTACTCCCCCCCCCCCAGATTCCATCCTCGGTAGGATACAGGTTAACGGAAATGCTGGTAACGATGGTGACATAGTGTTGTCTCTGGACGGTGACAATCTTCCAATTTCTATCGAACCTTACACTAAAAACCTTATCCTCAGACAGAAACTAGACAAGGAAGGATTGGAGGGTGTTCAGACCATTAGTGTGGACGTCAGTTGCTCAAAAACTGGGGTGGAGGACCCGGTAAGTGATCTGACAGCTGAGATACGGAACCCCTTTTGTATGCTGTATAAAATAAAGTATAACCTACTATCCATTATATGTACGTGCAAAAAGAGGAAAGAAAATGTCAAATGTAATACAGCTCTACAGAGTTAAGTTAACTTGTTGACGTATTTTTAATAAGTTGAAGATATTATTACTCAGATTTCTACAAGAATATTAAACCTTTAAGATATTATTACTCATATTTCTACAAGAATATTAAACCTTTAAGATATTATTAATCATATTTCTACAAGAATATTAAACCTTTAAAATATTATTACTCATATTTCTACAAGAATATTAAACCTTTAAGATATTATTACTCATATTTCTACAAGAATATTAAACCTTTAAGATATTATTACTCATATTTCTACAAGAATATTAAACCTTTAAGAGATAATTGTAGAGTTAAAGTATCTTAGTTATTTAGGGACATTTTTACTCAATAACTCAGTGCGTTTAGGGAGAAGGAGTAAAAAGCTATCTATGATGACAAGGTTGTTCAACTCACTTTTTTCCTCTCTGATTTAAATCAAGTTCTTATTGACACAATCAATTTGCTTTTTTATATAAGTACATCAGATACAAATATATTTACGGATAGTATATTGTAGTATTCATTGCTATTCCTTCCTTCCCTAATCTAGTTATATGATAACCAAAGCTTTATGTTTTAGCTCATCAGAAAAACGTGCAAACATGAATCGTGAATTTGGCTGCAAACTAATAATTTAACTGATATTTTAACATTAAAATATATATATAACATATAACTATATAACATAAAATATATTTAAAAAATTAAAATATTTTTTTCCAACTGAAGACAGTATCTTCCTTCAAACTGATACTTGAATAATAAGATATATTATTTTATTCTACTGAAGACAGTATCCTCCTCCAAACTTCGTTGTTGTTGTTTTTTTTCAGAGTATTATCATTCCAGTTCGTATTATCGTCACAGATGCCAACGATAATGGCCCCAGATTTATAGGAAGTCCCTACACTCTCAACATCAGCGAGGTATGTTTCTCTACAACAACAACAACAACTGCGTAAGCTAGTAATAATAATAACAACATTTTCTCATAAAGAAGTATTTGTTTGTTTGAAGTTAAGCACGAAGCTACACAACGTGCTATCTGTGCTCTGTCCACCACGGGTATCAAAACCCGGTTTCTAGCGTTGTAAGTCCGCAGACATACCGCTGTGCCACTGGGGGGGGGGGGTATGAAGAAGGTGAATCAAACTCGAGAAATCAGTGGTTACGTCAATATGCACATATCTAAAGAAAGAAAAAAATCGAATCAAATCAATAACTAGGACCTTAACAATAACTTTATTTGGAATTATTTCCTAAGTTAGTAGTTTACTTCGAATAATTAGGACCTTAACAATAACTTTATTTGGAATTATTTCCTAAGTTAGTAGTTTACTTCGAATAACTAGGACCTTAACAATAACTTTATTTGGAATTGTTTCCTAAGTTAGTAGTTGACTTCGAATAACTAGGACCTTAACAATAACTTTATTTGGAATTGTTTCCTAAGTTAGTAGTTTATTTCGAATAACTAGGACCTTAACAATAACTTTATTTGGAATTGTTTCCTAAGTTAGTAGTTTACTTCGAATAACTAGGACCTTAACAATAACTTTATTTGGAATTGTTTCCTAAGTTAGTAGTTTACTTCGATTAACTAGGACCTTAACAATAACTTTATTTGGAATTATTTCCTAAGTTAGTAGTTTACTTCGAATAACTAGGACCTTAACAATAACTTTATTTCGAATTGTTTCCTAAGTTAGTAGTTTACTTCGAATAACTAGGACCTTAACAATAACTTTATTTGGAATTGTTTCCTAAATTATTATGTATCTGGAATAACTAGGATCTTTTCAATAAATTTATTTCGAATTCTATAATTTTTATTTTATTTTGATCGTCTATCTTAACATCATTACAGATTAGAAACTATGGTTTGTTACTAAATATCAGAGATGCAACTTATATACGTATATGTACCAATAATTACAGTTCTGTGGTCCATTTTTCTTAAGGATAAGGGTTGTCAGGACTGTTAATTACAGTTCTGTGGTCCACTTTTGTTAACGGGTACCGGTGTAGATGATATGGTGAATACAGTTCTGTGACTTGCTTTTTTAAAGGTTTGTTTGTTTGTTATGAATTTCGCGCAAAGCTACACGAGGACTATCTGCGCTACCCGTCCCCAATTTAGCAATGTAAGACTAGAGGGAAGGCAGCTAATCATCACCACCCACCGCCAATTCTTGGGCTACTCTTCTTACCAATGAATAGTGGGATTGACCCCTCACATTATAACGCCCCCATGGCTGAAAGGGCGAGCATGTTTGGTGTGACGGGGATTCGAATCTGCGACCCGCAGATTGTGAGTCGAGCTCCCTAACCACTTGGCCATGCCGGGCCTAATTTTTTTAAACAGTTAACAGTTATTAGGACCGATAATCACAGAACTGTGGTCCATTTTTGTTAACAGGTAACGACTCGTGGGAACCGTTAGTTAAAGTTTTATGGTCCTTTTTTGTTAACAGCCAACGGTATGGTTGGTAAGGTGATTACAGTTCTGTGGTCCTCTTGCTGTTGGTTTTTGTTAACAGGTAGTGGTTATTAGGACCGGTAGTTCTGTGGTCCATTTCTTGATAACAACCATAAGGAACGGCAATTACAGTTAAGAGGTAACAGTAGTTGGGATGATAATTAGAGTTCTGTATGGTTCACTTTTGTTAAGAAGTAACAGTAGTTGGGATGGTAAATAGAGTTCTGTATGGTTCACTTTTGTTAAGAGGTAACAGTAGTTGGGATGG